ATCACTGGGAAGGATTCAACCTGGAAAAAGCAGCCAGTCCCATTCACAAGGTGGGCTTCATCCCTTCCTCTCCCCTAAGTGTGGTGGGACTCAGGGACCCGCTGGCATAGGACAGAGCAGGAAGCCGGGTTGGCCCCGGGGACGCCTGAGGACCCCACCTCTGCCAGGCAGTTGAGGGCAACTCTCAGGTGACATCGTGGGGTGCCCTGATAGGACAGGAGCAGAGGGTCACCTCATCCCTGTGTTCGTCCCCAGTCTCATAACCTTGGGCTGATGACGTGAAAACAGACCAACCCGATCTGAGGCTCCATCGAGCACCCGGCCGGAGCTGCGTGGATGGTCAAGGTGCTGGGGACAGGGCAGACAGAGGTGCCATTACAGTCCCAAGGAGTCCAAGGACACTTCCTGACAAAAGTGACCAGGGCTGCTGCTGGGTGGGCCCCTGGGCCAGAGACAGAGCAAGACAGGAAGCACCAGTGACAAGGGAATAAACTGTAAGGTTTATTTATCTTATTTGGGGGAGGTTTTGAGACCAAATTTCACTATGTGGCCTAGGCTGATGTCAAACTCGAGGCGATTCTCCTGCCTCAGCCTCCCACGTGCTGGGATGACAGGCGTGCGCCACCACGCCCAGCCAAATGGTGCAGGTGAGTCAAAGCTGGCTTCTTCACCGGGCGTGGTGGTGCACGCCTGTCATCCCAGCCCTCTGGGAGGCTGAGGCAGGAGGACCACAGTTTCAAACTCAGCCTGGGCAGTTTAGGGAACAAGCCAGACTCTGTCTCAAAATGTAAAACAGAGAAGGGGTAGGGATTCAGCTCAGACCAAAGGCCTTGGGTTTAACCTCCAGTAAAGAAAAAAAAAGTTACAGTAATTCAGAGCCATCATCAGTGAAAGCAACAAATAAAGCCAAGGAAGACATTTTGGTGAGCGGCACTGGTGGGCCTTGGGCTTCTGTGGCCCTCAACCCCATGGTGGCACAGGTGCCCTTTCCACGGGGCCCCCAGCTGCTGCTCCAGTACTGGGGACTGAACCCAAGGCTTAGCACTGAACTGCACTCCCAGCTCGTTTTATTTTTTCTTTTGAGGCAGGGACTCAACGATTCATTAAGTTGCTCAGGCTAGGCCCGAACTTGAGATCCTCCTGTCTCAGCCTCCCAGAGTGCTGGGACGGATGACAGGTACCACGTGTCTGCTCTGTCACACTGGGGGCTTCTGCGGAGAGATGGCTGCGGGCGACTACAGAACCGCGCCGGGGACAGAAAATACGGAGCTGTCGCCTGCCAGCTTCCGGGTTCCTGGACAGCGGCCAGAGCTGTCTGACCAGTGGGTTCCCCGCTCCTGCGTGGCAGACCTCTCTGGACCTCGGTTTTCAAATCAGGGACACCGGGAGCAGTCACAGACCTGGGAGAGAAGCCGGACCCACAGGGCTCAGAGGGCAGAACGCGCGGTCTGGATCCGCCCTCGGCGCTGCGGGCCCTTGGGGGCCTCAGCCAGGGCGCTGTAACGGAACG